CCAAAGGCATTGCTGCGCTCACCAACATCGCCAATGCCACTCTGAGACTTAACCACTTCCCGCGGCGGTGGCGGGAAGCCCAGGTTATAATGCTCACCAAGCCAGGCACCGGAAGTTGCCCCAGACCTACCGGCCCATCAGCCTGGTTTCCTCGATGGGCAGAGTAGTCGAAAAGGCTATCGCCGTTCGACTAGAGAAGCAGGCAGAAGAACTGCAACTTCTCCCCCCAGAGCAATTCCGCTTCAGATCCTCCCACAACACGGAACTCCAAGTGCTACGACTGACAGAAAACATTACCAGCGGCTTCAATCTCCAGGAGGCAACCGGCCTCGTCCTGCTGGAGGTGGAACGAGCCTTCGATCGAGTTTGGCACGATGGATTCATCGCCAAAATGGAAGCCGCCGGAATCGATGCGAACATGTGCCAACTGATCCAGAGCTATCTAAAACAAAGATGGTTCACGGTGAAGATTGGTACATGCCACTCAACAAGACGACAGCTGGAAGCAGGCGTGCCCCAGGGGTCAGCCTTAGCCCCCCTGCTCTACAACATCTATACTCACGATGTGCCGAAGACAGCTGACACAATGCTGGCCCTATATGCAGACGACACTGCTATAGCCGCCAAGCATCGACGACCCGAGATCATCCGTAGGAGACTACAGGATGAACTGGACCACATCCAGGACTGGTGCGTGAAATGAAAAATCCGCGTCAACGTCCAGAAAACGCAGGCAATCTTCATTCAACGAAGAAGGATTGAAAGACCTCTCGAAGCATCCATCTTCGACGAAGATATCCAGTGGAGCGACAAAGTCAAATATCTGGGGATCGTATTTGACAAGTCCCTCACCTGGAAAGCCCACATAGAAGCTGTCATCGCAAAGACCAGAGCAGCCATGGCTCAACTCTACCCATTACTGGGTAGACACAGCCGGATGCGACCAAGCTACGGCTGATCAAGGTGATCGCCAGACCTCAGCTCGCTTACGCCTCCGCGGTCTCGGGGTACGCTGCCCCCAGCTACCGCAAGCGACTTGCTGCTCTAGAGATGAAGCGACTCTGGATCGCCACCAGTGCACCATCCTACGTAAGAAACTCAACCTTGCGTAGAGACCTGCATTGGGAGTACATGAGGAAAAAAGCGGAGAAGACCTTCCAGAAAGCTCAGGACCACCCGAACGAGCAGCTACGATTCCTCATGGACTACGATCCGGACGAGAGGCCTCGCAACCGCAGAACCAGGTACCCTAGACCAAGGTCCCAGTTGGCACCCGCTAACTGGAACTTTGACTAGGAGACTAGGAGAACCCGCGGTTGCTCCCTCCCCACCCCTCCCGCCACGACCAGGACCCACCAGGACCAGGACCCACCAGGACCAGGACCCACCAGGACCATGACCCTTCAGGACCAGGACCATTCAGGACCAGGACCAGGAACAATATATAGGTAAGAGGACTTGATTTTTCGAAAACAAGAGTTTCAAGAGAACCTAGCAGACACTCTATCGATGATCGCTTAACGACATCGATAGAATGTGCGAGGTAAAGGGAACCAACCCGGCGTTCCCAGAGACTGAAACACATGAGGAGACGTTGTAGCAGACCGCAGGTCACGCACAACACATGGCCTACCGTGACGCTGATGAGTCGGGCCACGCGGAGGTTAGGGTTTAGTGGGTATTAGGTGGTCTCCTAAAGACAACCTGGAGTCCCACACACGCCGTAGCTCGGGCTATGGTATGGTGCGTAAACGCATTCCCCCTCACCAAAAAAAAAAAAAAATAACCACTGCAATCTTTCTTTTTAAATTATTAAATGACAAAATTGATTTTCCTGAAATTTTGTCTCAATTAAATTTTAATGTACCTGCGTTTACATCAGGTAACTATGTCATGTTCAAACCTGCACGAGCCAGAATCAATCTTTTAGTAAAATCGCCAATCCACGTTATGTGTAAATTCCTAAACGCCATTAGCTGCCATTGTGACATATTTCTATGTTCTCTTATAGAATTAGTTGAGATGGCGTATATGTACGTATGCTAATCCTATTGTTTTTTTGTCTTTTCATTTTCTTTTACCACTGTGCTTGATTTCTTTTATTACCTGTTATTATCATTTTAATTGTCCTATAAATGGCGTTACTGTTGGACAATAAGGCTATTATTATACTAAGTGACATATAAATCCGAACACCCAGTTTAAATGGTTTTATTTTAATAAAAGTTGGTGAATGTATTTATCTTACTGTAAATAACAAGTGAAAAAATTCTCATCCTTATCAGTTGGACATTCCGGTTTTTATACTGCTTTTTTTTAATTCACTAACGCTCTAAAAATGAATATTTCAGCCGCAGTAAAGAATCAACGTTGGCGGATTTTGGTTCTTGACATCCTTTACGATCGGTTACGGTGCCTAGAGTACGGAGACGTGTACGATTTCGTCAACTTAGTGAGTTTGATAGGGGCCGTATAGTGGGACTTCGGGAAGCTGGACCTTCTTTTCGGGCAATTGCAGTTAGAGTGCAAAGAAGTGTAGACACTGTGGTTAGGTGTTGTCAGGCATGGTTTCGAGAAGGCCGTACGCAAAGAGCAAGGGGCACTGGGCGCCGCCGTAGAACAACAGACCATGAAGATCGCCGCCTAACATTGTTGGCCTTAAGGGACCGTTTCTCCACTACCAGGTCCACTGCAAATGAATGGTTTGCAGAACACGGAAGACCTATTGGCATGCGAAGTGTTTACCGACGAATGAGAAGTTTTGGCTTGTTTTCATACCGGCCACACTGGGTCCTCCCTTTAACTCGAGAACACCGACGTAATCGCCTTGAGTGGTGCAGACAACGGTCACTCTGGGATCAGGAATGGAACAGTATTGTCTTTAGTGACGAGTCTCGATTTGGTTTAGGCATGCACGATGGTCGTGCCAGGGTTAGAAGGCGACGTGGTGAAAGGGGGAATCCACAGTTTTTTGTTGAAAGACATGTTCATCAAACTGTTGGAGTTATGGTGTGGGGTGCTATAGCTTATGGTTCCAGGTCACCTTTAATCTTCATCAGAGGTAACATGAATGCGCAGCGTTATATCCACGAAGTTCTAGAACCCCATCTTTTACCCTATCTTGACACCCTGGCAGATCCAACTTTCCAACAAGATAATGCCCGACCACATGTTGCAAGAGTCACAATAGACTTCTTTCAACATAATGATGTCACATTGTTACCATGGCGACCAAGATCTCCCGACTTATCCCCAATTGAGCACGTGTGGGATATGATGGGTAGGGGATTGCTCAATTTGCAACGTCCTCCTCAGACTCTAGAAGCACTTCGAGAGGAGTTGGTGGTTGCCTGGAATGAGATACCATAGGAGGACATTGACCACCTGATCAGAAGCATGCCTAGGCGCGTTGGAGAATGCGTAGTACATCAGGGTGCATCCACACATTATTAAAGGTCAAAGGGCTTTAAAGCAGTGCAATCATTTTGAAATTTTTATCATTTACTTATTATGCTTCATTAAGTACTTATACAAAATTTTATTAAAATAAAACCATTTAAACTGGGTGTTCGGATTTATATGTCACTTAGTAGATTACTGTGTATTTATTAGTGATGTTTGCACCGTATCTAGGCTGAGGCATGAAGCATTTGGTTGAGTCTACAACATCTTCAATCGATAGTTGTCGGAAACGGTAAGTACCAATAAGAGTGAGAATAGGGTCCCAGCACCGCCCAGTGTACAGTATCATTTTTAGGACGGTGTAGTGTATTGTCTATCAGTTTGTGGTAACCGCTCCACATTGGTGAGGAGTGCCCAAGTGCAACGTGTAGGCCAGTTAGTGGCCGGTAATCTCGAATTGTTCCAAATATAGCTGCTTTCTGTTGCTAAGTGAAACGACACTGAATGAACACCTGGAATAATTCTTGTTACCAACTGTACAAATATAGACCGAGCAGCAAGACTGTACCATGAAACATTTCGTATATACACGAGATCAAAATGTTATGAAACTTTCTTTGCCCGAAATAAGTGTTCAAATTACGGGAAAACATACTGATTTTCTAAGAAACGTAAGCTGCATTTGGCTGAGTTTTATCACGTCCTGCTTATTTCAAAAATCAACCAAAGGTGACACATGAGTAGTTTATTCGATCGCGGTAGTACCAACCTTTACGTTAACAGCAGGAAACTACAGTCTCCTGGCATGTCTGAATGCCAGTGTTTGCATATAAGAAACCAAGAAACACCCGCCACATGAATAGGATGTATTAGCTTTCCATATCTGCGACCGTATCCTACCGTGTACACGTTTGTTCATACATGGTTGTTAGTAATTATCAGTACGGTAAAGGCATAATCCATTGGAGACAGACTAACGAAACTGCTCATAGGTGGCGTTTGCATTATTTTTCGCACATTACAATAACGAACGAGTTGCTTGCTTTCCGTCATCAATCTCCAAATTACCTTTACCGTACCAACGATTGCTGAAAAGTATGAAACATGTACGGTTGGTTGTGGTCGCACAGACGGAAAGCAAACAGATCATATTCAGCTTGAACCTAGATTTTTTCAAATTAAGTCAGTCTAGAAGTAAAAGTGTGTTTGGTCTATAATTTTATCTTTAAAATATGAATAAATGTTAAAAAACAATCCCAGAAATCATATCATTGAGATGGGGTAGAAAAAAGTTGACTATTTCTTAAGGAGTATTAAAATTAAAAAAGTTAAGTTTTTAGAAATTTATTACAAAAATTATTTGACATACGAAAATGAAGTTCGTATGTATTGGAATCTTGCCCCAAAACAAAACATCTTGTGAAAAATATGAGTGAAGTGGTGTTTAGAACGACCGATTCAATCCCGTTGGCATATTCGATCATTCCATGAAAATTGCTTCTATAAATAAGAGTATGTCAATTTGAATACTAACAGCCAGTAAAATGCGTATTTCGTTTCTGATATGTCGATTTTCCTATCAAATGTCAAAAACTCACCTCGTTCCATTCCTCCGGCAATCTCCTTTTTCGAGGGGGGGTGGTGATAACAGCCGTAGCGACCGTACCCTAAAAAAAAAACCCGATTATGGTTACTGTCCTCAAGTTTTTAACCCCCATATTGATAAAAACATACGGATATTCCACCGAATATTTGCGAACGTACCGTGACGCCGCTGAGGGCTGAATGGCACAGGGTGAAAACCGTGTCTTGAGCAGAGCTTTCTTATCCTCCTAATAGATCACTGGAAGAATGGACTGTAGCAACTCGGTACTCGTGAGAATAAGATGGACCAGAGGAAAAAACAAAATGAAGAAGAGATACTGGAATCAGAGAGGGACCCGAACTTTTCGGATAGAACTCTTGAGGAAGAAACTGTCGTGGAAGTTAATTTAGGGCTTGGCAGTGGGATGAGACCACATAAGAAAGAATGGAGAAAGCTTCCAGGAGCTCAAAGGAAGATGGTGAAAGCTAGGAGACTGACAGATGGGACTTGGACGGATCAAGATCCGTACAAAAAGGACCCACGTCAAATGTATAGAAATTCACCTCGACAACTATCTGACCTACGAACATGAGGTTCGTATATATTGGAATCTTGCCACCCAAAAAAAAAACATGTTGGAAAAAATATGACCGAAGCGGTTTTTGGAACGACCGATTCGAGATGAAAATTTAGGTACGGCACAATTATTTATAAGAGTATATCAATTTGACTATTTAACAGATTTGTTTACAAAATTTAATATGGTTAATTTGCAATTACAAGGCGACAGTTTAAATTTGCCAGAGTTAAACTAATGAAGCAAAATATTGGGCGGGCGAATTTTCTCAGTTCCCCAATTTGTCACAGACAAGCTGCCAGGAAAACGACGTTGCAACTTACGTTCAACATTTAAATGCCCATATATTCAGATTTTAAATCTAGGTTTGAGGATATTTTGACTATGGTAATACCACCGTGGATAATTAATCCATATGGTGACAGAAGAAACGAATGTCATAATACAAGAGGAACTGACTGAACTAAGTACAAACGAAGAACTTAAGGTTCAGTTTAAAAACGGATATCAGCAATTCTGGCTGCAAAACAACATACCCGTTACTTATCCCGTATTATGGAATATAGCGAGGAAATTTTTAATTTCCTTTCCATCGTCATACCTAGTGGAGATTTAAGATTAACCCTTACAAAATTGACGCCAAATGTTGATAATTTATTATTAAAGCATCAGGTTCATCCTTCTCACTAAAAATATTGACTTATTGTTTATGTTATTTTATTTATAGTTTATTTTATGTTTATTGGTGTCTGACCAATAAATGCCCGCATTGGGAATAAGTGCCCGCATTGATTTTTTTAAAGAACCCCCTTTAAAGAAAATATTTTTTTTAAGTATTCTGAAAATTCAAGGATAGGTACACACTAAAATTCGTTAAATGTTTTGCCTATTTTTAGATAACTTAAACGTATAAAAAGCGGAATTTAATCAAACTAACAGTGAAATTATTGTAGAACAGGTTTATGTTATAATTAATAAACGAACTCGCTTATTGTACTATTATAAGTAAAAACTTTTTTTTTATTATTTTTCACTTTTTTTTAATTTATCCCTGTTATTTTTTTTTCAATGCGGGCACTTATTCCCAATGTGGGCACTTATTGGTCAGACACCTGTTTATTTAATGTTACTATATTTTACATAACAGATACAAAATTTTATTTTGAGTAGTTTTAATTTAAATTCAATCAATAAATGTATAGATTAACATGTGTTTTTACTTTAAGTTTTTAACACTAAACTTCACTACAGTTAGAAATTTACAGGAAATCGATATCAGGTAAGTAGTGGGTCTACCCAACACGGAAAAACATGGCAAGGGGTCTACGACACAAAAAAGTTTGGGGAACTCTGGTCTACACGATAGTAAATTTCTTTTGCGATAGTGGCGCCATCAAGCGGTGAGGCTAAGTACTTATCGGAGTGACCTCGTATAATACCTGAAATGTAAAAACATTTCTAATTTGAATCGGTTTAGAAAAAACTTTATTATTGGCCTTATTCTCTTAAAGCTTCTTGTTTGTAAACTATTATGGTTTATTGAGAATAAGGAATATCATTATTACTATTATTATTATTATTATTATTATTATTATTATACACATGTCGCACAGATGTCATCCGGACATAACCCAAAGGATCTGGTCACAAGAAGGTTGGGAAGGGTACAGCACGAGGAGAGCATGAGCACATATTCTCTAGAATTCCTGAACACCAAGTTCAGTGACCCAGGGTGCTGCTGTTCATCCAGGAACAGAACGGGGAGGAGGGTGATGAGGAGTCTATCGTCCAACGTCTAGGGAGGTTAAACCCTGATCTAAGAGTGGGATGTTGGCACTTCCTCACCTCTGTGTTCGGACCAGGATGTCTGTATAGCAGGCAAATCGACAGAAGCTGCACTACATCAGCTTAGTGGCTCAGGTCATCCGAGGGTGCCCGCAGGCGGTGATCTGTCCCCGTTACTGCGGAACCTGGTAGTGAATGAGTTAATAAGGGAACTAGACCAAGACGGGCACAGAACGCTAGGACATGTGGATAGCTCGTTATCCTATCGCAAGGCAAATTCAACACCAGTCAGAGACAAAATGCAAAAACTCCGAATGTGGTCACAACATAGATGTCAAACGAGGGTTTAAACGTAAGTCCCATAGTTATCCGTAGTTGCTTTCACCAGAATAGAGAAATAAGAGGGGAGATGACTATGGGCTCGAGTCTCGAGCGATTCTGCCCAATAACAGTTATACTCCCCTTCTTGAAATATATCAGTGTGCTGATCACGCGCTGCTCATGCGATGATCAATGTTTGGTTTAATATCTCTCTTCGATAGACGCATAATAGTCCGATAAGTTTTAGATGCAGAGCTGTGAACGCTTACCCTACCCTTAGGGCAAAGATATCAATGAGGTGGTGGCAACTAGAGCAATAAATAACTTTCGGAGAGCTCCAAAAGGTAATCGAGTTGCGGAGGTTTAAAATGTTAAGTACTTACCCTATAGTAGACTGAATTCAGCGGCATGACTGCAGCTGCAAAGAGAATAAAATACCATTAAGCTATATTTGAACATGTCTCTGAAGGTTTGGTAGCCGTATTTTATTGAAATACAATATGTATTGACCAAAGAAATATAGACGCTAATGTGACTCATGCGGTTTTCATGCTGATAGGACTGTCTGACCGAATCAAAACCGCATATACAGGGTGATTCACAAATCGTGACAAAAATGGAACATCATAGACTTTCTAATTTTTAACTCTAGAAAAACGTATTTCCAAAATTTGTTGTGGCTTGAATTTGATGCAACGCATTATCTATTCTTTCTTGTAACTGATCAACAGTATCAACTTGTTCAGCATACACTAGTTGTTTAAAAGCACCCCACAAAAAGAAATCCAGGGGGTTCAAATCAGGAGACCTCGCAGCCCAATGGTTCTCATTTTCAGAAGCTTTATTGATATAAGGCTCATGGGGGTTTGTATGACAGGTTTTGAGAGACAGCTAACCCTTTTGTAAATCAGATAGGTAAATTTAAATATCACATTTCAAAATAACAAAATTGTATTTAGTTTGTAAAAGTCAATCTTTACAATTGATGCATTCTCATAAATTAAATTTATCCAACATACATTTTTAAATTCTAAGAAACAGTTGATTTCGCGTACTTGACCACCCTGTATGAGATATTCGAAAAACTGAAAAAATAAGTAGATATGCAGAAAATATGGGATCATAAAGTGACGAAAAATACAGTAAACCAACTATAAACGGTTGCGGAGATATGAGTTGTCAAAGTTGATTTTTTTTTTCGATAGATTGTCCAATATCTCAATAATTTGAAAACTAAACCTCATATTATGTTATATCAAATTGCTTCGTTTAAAAGAGCTTATCCTAAAAATGTACGTATGGGTTACCACGTAGTTACGGATCACCCTGTAGAGACAAACATATTTTTCAAGTTGTCTACAATTCTTGTATTCAACTTTTTTGGATACCCTGCGACTGAGCCCACACTAAAACTCATCCTGAATATAATATATTCATGAATATTAATCATCCAACGGTTTCCAATAATCGGAATTCAGTTATTTAGTTAGCTACCATAAAAAAAAATATTTTTTTTTACGGAATGTGACTTAACACGCAGAGAGAACTTCTCATCAATACCTTTTACGTAAGCGCATGCGCACTTTAGGAGGGAACGATATACAGGGCGTTGTCTATCCCGAAGGCGCGAATCGTAATTTGTATATTGTAATTATTTGCTCGTTTATAGCAGTTTTTGTGTTACACTTTGGCTTCCATTTGTTGCCAATACTATCCATGTATTGAGTCACAACCTGTCAATCTGCTCTGCACATTATTCATATCTGGAAATACTAAGAAAGCGCCTTAGTACGACCGCTCCACTTTGTTGCACATAATTGAAACTCGCCATGGAGAAAGTACTCACCAATATGTCACTTTTGAAAAGTGGTGCCCAAGTGGCAAAAGATAGATGTCCAACAAGGAAATGTAAACTATAGGTACTATGTTTTACTTTTCAGACCAGCCTCCTACGATCCACTTACATACGAGTACTTTATGCCCAAGAGTCTACCGACCGCTCCTTTGTCCCGAGGGTGTCCAGATTGTGGAACAATCTACAAGAGGAGCCTTTTCCCAGTTCTACCAACCATAAGCAGTTCAAAAATCGGATTATCAAAATTTCTTTGGGATCATCATAGCAACCGCGGTGTCCCGGCATTTAGGCTTCTGCCAGTTTCATTCCGTTAAAACAAAGTGGAACAGGCGTGATTCAAGCGCTGTTGACTAGCGCGGTTTTCTTTGTATTGTCGAGTTTTCTAGAAAATGCCGTGGAAAATTCATTCAAATATGAGGCACTTGTGCTTTATCGCAACAGGAAGGTACTATAATATTAATATACTGTATACAAAAATGCCTATCCTATCTTTAAAGGCTGTGACTTGCGCCATTTTGCCTAGGTTTTCATTGATTTTTGGAAAGAGGAAGAAAATGTATGCCAACTTATCAGGATGCTGCAAAACACAAAAAGTGTTTCTCAAAAATTTTAAAAGGAGCATCTCGTATATATTATCACACCATCTGATTCGCGTTTTTAAAAGTTTCTTTTATCAGGTTATACTAGTTTATTAGAACGGTTATCTGATTATACATACAAATTCTCGAAAATGGTATAATTATCTATTTAGTAATATGTCATCCATGGAAAAAATAACTTCCTCCAACAATTATGTGCTCAGGCCAGGTTACTTAAGACATTCCATAAATATTTCTCTCTGACAACTATGCTCTATATTAATTAACCCTAATCTGATTATATATATATATATATATATATATATATATATATATATAAACAGGGTGTCCGCAAAGTTGGGGTTTTCCTTTACACGACGTGTAGATCTTGAAACATAAGCAATTTTTTCTTAGTACCATATACACCAATGTCTTATGGAACCGAGATAAAGGACTCTGCAACATCAAAAATATCTTAATACCGTCCTGTAGCCGCGACCCGGGACATCACAGATTGGTACAAGGTCTCAACCCGACCGCAGAACTGGGTCGGGGTCAGTGTGTCAGGTCAGTATGCAACCTTCAACCGATGGTTACGGTCACGCATGTAGAGGTAATCGCGTAGACGAGAATATCTAGAGACGTGGCTGAGAGAAGTGCAAGTATCAAAAACTAAAGTGTGGCAAACGCTGCGTGAAGAGGAGCTGTATCCGTTTCACGTCCAACGTGTACAAGCCCTTCAACCTGACGATTTTCCAGCAAGAGTGCGTTTTGTGAGTAGTTGTTGCATCAACATGACCATAATCCGGACTTTTGAAGTGCATATTGGTGACAGACGATCTACGTTCACGCGTAATGGGGTGAATAACTTCCGCAACACTCATGTTTGGTCAGTAGAAATCCGCACGCAATTACGCAACATCTTGCCTTTCTTGTTAGAAGATGTGCCATTAAGTGCAGACAATCAATGTGGTTTTCTTCTGCGTCTGCTCGGTAGCGCCTGAGCTGATTTCATTTTCTGTTGGAGCGGTATGATTTCGGGCAGAGACGTACTTAGCCCTTCTCGTCAACTGGAGAGTGAGTACTTTTTTCTTTATTTTTTTTTACTTGGTCGCCCTCGTTCACTACACATTACCTTTGTTATTTCAAGGGTAGTTATTTCTGAAAAGGAAAACCCCAACTTTGCGGACACCCTGTATATATACAGGGTGTTTCATTTATTGTTGCATAACTTTAAGATTCGATAGAACTTTTAAAATTAATGCATAAAGTCTATATAAACATGGGTCGAAAAAACGCGTGGCTTCCGAAATACAAGGTGTTTAAATTTACTTTCTAAAATAGTTTTTTTTAAATATTTCGAACAATATTTGATGTATAACAGTGAAAATTGGTACACAAGGGTTTTTTGGTACGACAAAACGAACCATGGGCATAGTTTTACTGTAGCCGCTAGAGGGCGCTCTCTACTGTACCTGTAGTGTATTAAAATGACCGACAATTTTTCTTAGTGCAACTTTTTGCTTTTGAATAAAAAAACTGATTCTTCGCACTTTCCAACATAAAAAAAAGCTCTCAAGTGAGTTTTCGTTATAGTTAGCCGTTTTTGAGATATTTCGATTTTTAAGGTTCGATGCATTTTTAATTATTTATGATAAAATAACGTTAAAAAGTCAGTATCTCGATAATGTTTAGAAGTAGGCTTGTGCCTGCAAATATTTTGAAATTGAAAGCAGAATAAGGTTAAACGTCAATTAGTTGACAGTTAGTTTTGTTGTCTGTTGAAACCTGAAACGTTTTTTTGCAATTGTGAATGCAACGAAATTCAGTTTCTTTTACCTGTTTTTTGTATGTTTTATAAAAATGCCATTTTATATTCTCCAATCAAGAGTTAGCGGATATTCATTTTGTGTGTGGCTTTGTAAATGGAAACGCAGCAGAAGCAGCCAGAGAATACGCACGAAGATTTCCAAACAGGACGACATCCAACTCGCTCAGTATTTGTAAGAGTGCATCGCCAAATAATTGAAAATGGTTTTGGAAATCTCCAAAGGGATCGAAACATAAATGTTCGTCCGCGCAGATTTACCCGTATGATTCTGCGCGAGTTTGATAGAGATCCGACCACAAGTGTTAGGAGAGTTTCTGGTGCCTTGGGAATTTCAGCAAGCCATGTTCTTAGAAATGACCATAGACGTCCTTACCATTTGCAACCTGTGCAAGGACTACAGCCAGGGGACGGAGAACGAAGAATCACATTTGTCAGTGAATTCTTGGTTCGTTTTGTCGTACCAAAAAACCCTTGTATACCAATTTTCGCTATTATACATCAAATATTGTTCGAAAGATTTAAAAAAAACTATTTTAGACCCTGTATTTCGGAAGCCACACATTTTTCGACCCCTGTTTATATAGACTTTATGCAATAATTTTAAATGTTCTATCGAATCTTAAAGTTATGCAACAATAAACTGAAACAACCCTGTATATATATATATATATATGGTGTAAAGCTAGTATTGGATCAACGGAAGTCAGGTGAGGTAGGGCCTCAAAATCTATCGAATGAACCCCTATATTGTGTGGTCCGAAATTGTACAGTTCAGGAGATAATTGCAATTTTGAGAAATTTGAAAAAAAACGGATAATGAACTTTCAATCGCAATTACAACTAAACCATTAGGTTTAGATGGCTGTGATTTTTTTGAGATGAGCTAAATGGTTAGTTTTAACAATGGTTATGTTACTTTTTAACAGAGCTAATTAGAAATCAACGCAAAAAATCTTAAATTAACTTTTTGTGAAAAATCTCTTCCATCCCTCAACTTTCGAGGGCGGTAAAAAATTGAGGTTGTATTTCATTGTAAAAACTATTCCAATCCATGCAGAATAAACCCTGAAAATATCAGCTTGCTACGATAAGTGCCTCACCTTAAAAAATCTGTATGTTTGACGCAAGTGGATATCTATCCATACATGTAATCAA